TTAGTAGGTTGGAGGCCATCGTTAGTAGGTTGGAGGCCATCGTTAGTAGGTTGGAGGCCCTCGTTAGTAGGTTCGAGGCCATCGCTATTAGGTTGGAGGCCATCGTTAGTAGGTTGGAGGCCATCGTTAGTAGGTTGGAGGCCATCGCTAGTAGGTTGGAGGCCCTCGCTAGTAGGTTGGAGGCCATCGTTAGTAGGTTGGAGGCCATCGTTAGTAGGTTGGAGGCCATCGCTATTAGGTTGGAGGCCCTTGCTAGTAGGTTGGAGGCTGTCGCTATTAGGTTGGAGGCCCTCGCTATTAGGTTGGAGGTCATCGTTAGTAGGTTGGAGGTCATCGTTAGTAGGTTGGAGGCCATCGTTAGTAGGTTGAAGGCCGTTTGTATTAGGTTGAAGGCCATTGTTAGTAGATAAGAGGCCCTCGCTAGTAGGTTGGAGGCCATCGCTGTTGGGTTGGAGGCCCTCGCTATTAGATTGGAGACCCTCGCTAGTAGGTTGGAGGCCATCGCCGCCAGGTAGAGAACCTTAACGTGGTTTCTTTCTTTCGTGAGAAGTCTGAGAACTGTCCCCCTGCTGTGCAGGTCCATCGGCGTGGCATATCTTACCTACTACTGGGTGGATGCAGACAGTCAGGCCGTGCTGAGTGTGGAGACTAAGGGGCGTTTCAGAAGTGCGTGGTGTTAAAACTGCTGGGCTGGAATGCGTTCTATGATTCTATGTCTCGTTTATTTGCAGGTGGTGTTAGACACGCGAGACGTTGTTTCGTGGGGCACCTGGATTGTACACATTCTGTATCGCTTTCACTCTCAGGCAATGCAGCATGTTTCTGCAAATTACACAGATTCCGACTCAGAGTTTTGCTGACAAACAGTGCCCTCTTGCCAGGTCTGAGTCATTCAGATTTATTGAAGAAGCTCTGAACTCTGCAGAAAGTGTGCGCCGGCATTTGTCATGGGACGTTTTTGCAAGGACCTTGACTGGCAGAGACGTTTTTCTGGGTGTGAGGTACTGATCCACTCGGTACGCGGGCAGTCCAGGTCTTGTTGCATTCTAGGTGCCTATATGATGAAGAAATACAGCTGCGGCCCTAGCAACCTGGCAGGATGCAATGGTCTAGACCTGGATAGGTTTTTCTTTGCTACTTGCAATTTCAAGAACTACACGAACGTTGTACACTCAACCGGTAAACTAAGCAGCGCTTGAATGCTTCATTTGTCCAATGGAGTAAGGATCTCTACCCACCTGCTGTCATTTTTGAAGTGATGGCTTTCCAAGGCTGGGGTCTTCGCAAGACCATGGAGTTCATCAGCTTCCGTAGGCATGTTCCGAATGCTCCTTCGCTAGTCATCAGGACTTTTCATAGGATGCTGCTCGGTGCTGCTTCTGTTTATGAAGGGTTCTAGAAGAAAGGAAGATTGCAAGAGAGAGAAAGAGAGAGAAAGAGAGAAAGAGAGAAAGAAAGAAAGAAAGAGAGAGAAAGAAAGAAAGAAAGAAAGAAAGACAGAAAGACAGAAAGACAGAAAGACAGAAAGAAAGACAGAAAGACAGAAAGAAAGAAGGAAGGAAGGAAGGAAGGAAGGAAAGAAAGAACTAAACAAAGAAAGAAAAAGCTAAATAAATAAAGAAGTAACGAAATAAATAAACAAAGAAAGACATAAGGAAAGGAACACATGCAGATTCCAGGCCAGACATGAACTTGAAATCTGCATTTATGCAGCCTGCAGCTCAGATTTTGCACCATTGAGCAAGTGAGAAGACGCAAAGCAATCACAAATGGATGCGAATCCACACGTAAAAGGAACATTAGGAACAAGGACGGGCTCCTGACATCGCTACTAGGAGCAAGGACGCTACTAGGGGCTCCTGGCATCGCTACTAGGAGCAAGGACACTACTGGTGGCTTGTGGCCTTACTACTAGGAACAAGAAGCTACTAGGAGCAATGACTTATAACTTATAACTATTTACTGTACCCTTTAGCCCTCGAGTACATGCGGACATGACACGGTGTAAGACATGCTTCCAGAATTGCTGCTGTCGCAGCTTTTGAGCCCGCGAGATTCAATACACGAACGGCAAGGCAGCTGTCTGCTCTCGAACGGCGTCTTGTTGAGAAGCCGGGCACTTCAATTAGACTTTATCATTGCCTTCCTGACAGATGGTGTGTTAAGGTCAAAGCAGTCACTCAGCGTTGACTGGACAGATGCAAGTAACAGTTGGGAAGCAGAGGACGCTCTGGATTGAGTTGTGGCCAACCTTCCACTTGAGACTGCATCCCAAGCAACGCCGAAGTGCGAGGGAGCGTGGGTGTTGATTTTGGCAAGGACCTCCTCCTCCGCAACACGTATCTCAATGGACAGCCAAAGCCCAAAGCCTTGCAGTGCCTTACAGTCTATCACACCCTCAGGTCGCAAACGCTAATAAGAACCGTTGTTTTTTCTTCACCTAAGCCTGCAAGGATGGGTCCTTTGGCAGAGTTTCACTCTGGTGCGCTGGAAAGGCATATGCTGGAACCTTACAGGTGTTCGTTGAGTTTGCACCGATCCGACATGACGCCGCCTAGACCACGGCGTCTTTGTTGGTTGGACCAGGCTGGCAGTCAAAAAAGCATCAGTCAGAATTCGTGTAGGCTAGTAGCAAGGATGCAAGTAGGTTGGAGGCCATTGCCAATTGCTATTTGTTTTGCCTCCCCCGGAAAAAAAAGACCTTGGGCTCGGAACTGGTATGGCAGGAGAGCCACGACAAGAGCCGGCTGGTTGGGAGCTCTTCAGCGAGTGTGCTTTTTGTGAAGCTACTGATTGTGTTGATTGATCTGTTGTAGCGCCTTGCTGCCTTGCTCCAAGCATGAGGAAAAGCCAGCTGGTGCCGATCGCCATAATGTGCTCACACAGGACGGCAAATGCACAAGCTTATGCTAATAGACCAGAGAGTTGCAATCTCATTGTGGATTGCCGGAAGGCTTCGGAGCTTCAAGGCATTTTGAAGAGGAAGACGCGCGTTACAAGCTTAGCACAAGGAAATTCATTTTGGCGTTGCGTGTTGCAATGCTACTCATGCTCGCTCACGCTACTCACTTTCTTCTTCTTCCTCCTCCAGCTTCTTTTTCCTGCTTCTTGTTCCTTGGGTCATCAACATCACTACCCATAGCTACTCTCTTCTCTTGATGGGTCCTTATTCATCCGTATTCTAGAATAGTGTAGCATGCTTCTGTTGCTTATTGTACCATGAACGTTGCCCTCAACAACAGCCCATAGCCTCTGTAGCTGTAGCCAAACAGGACCGCTTGTGCAATTCCTTGCCACAGGCCGCACCGCGCTTGGGCGGTGGGGAGCCCAAGTGAGCACGTTTGCGCAAAAAGAACTTTGCAAGACCCAAGCACCTAAGGCGATAGTGAGGCGAACATAAAAAGAACGGAAACCGATGAATTTACGAGAACGGAAAACAATAGAAAGGTCCAAAGACAGATATATTAGAACCACTTTGTGTTTATAAAATCATTCATAGTTCCCACACACATCTTGTGGGCTGTCTGTCGCATCTCTTTGACCTGCAAGTTGACCTTGCCCAGGTACTGGGCCTGCGCAGCGTATGTCCCAGGCCCGTGATTTCTGGAAGAAAGATGAGGTCCGAACCTTAGATGAGATGGCTTCAGAGAGAGTGAGAGCGAGAGTGAGAGAGAGAGAGAGAGAGAGGGGGGGGGGGGAGTGGGTGCCACGCAGGAGCAGCCTATGCTGGAGACTGCCAATGGGGGCTATCCCAAAACTGCAGAGGCGACTCAGAAGTGCAGTGTGTGACTTTGGTCGTTTCTTTCCTCAAGCCCTCTCTGGTCCGAAGCCTTCCAGACTTTCCAAACAGCCCAACAAGCAGGTTCCAACTGCTTGGGCCGATGAGGGTGAGGCACACTTCCGTCAGGATCTAGGTGGGATCACGTGTGATGCCTCACTCAAGAAAAGAACAACCAAGACACATAAGAAAAACTTCAGATTTGAACAAGCCGCTCTTTCTGGCTATGCAGCCATTTCGTTCCACTGTAGCAGAGTTGTAGCACCCGGGTGCTCCTGCAAAGCTTGCAGGCCTCGGCCCACTTCTCTCGTTTGAAGGCTTCTATAATGCTTGCAAGTCTTCCAATTCACAAAGCCTGGCCAGGGAGATGTTCTGGGCAATTTTTGCATATGTTGCTATACCTTGTGGATTTTTGCTGACGACGCTGCTGCTGACCGAAGTCACTGTACTCATGAAGGCCGGGTGGCCTGACATCTTGTGCTGTTCCTCATGCGAGTCAGCAGGGACACCAACATGTGTAAGTTTGAAGCCTCGCGAAGGTGGCGTCAGCAGTGATGAGTGCGCCAGTGCATATTGGCAAGTTGAGATGCAATGTGGCTGTGCTGATGGCAGCTGCTCGGTTTCCGCATCTTCGTCTCAGCATTCCTTTTGGACCTGATCCTGAATCCAAGGCTTTGTCCGCATGCCTGACACTGTTGTCCTACTCAGGTTGGCTTTGGAAACGCACTGTGCAACATACGTTTCGGATCGTTTCGGCCATTTCTCTTTTGGTTCGGATCTAGTAGCGATGCCCTAGCTACTAGTAGCATCCTTGCTACTAGTAGTAATGCCAGGAGCTACTATATAGTAGCTTCTTGTTCCTGATGCCATTTCTCTTTTGGTTCTGGATGAGTCTTGATGCCGCTTTTGCTTTAACATGTCCGGAGGTGTTCGTCGCGAACAAATGAAGAGCGACCAGCTGGCAGCGTCCAGTCAAGGCTTTATGATGCGTGATTGGGAGATGCACGGCTCCATCCAACTTGCTTTATGTGCAAGATTGCTGTTCGGTTGGAAGTGCCATACTAGGGTGGAGGCCATCGCTATTATAAAGGTTGGAGACCATCGCTCTTAGGTTGGACGCCATCGCTATTTAAAGGCCATCGCTACTAGGGTGGAGGCCATCGCTCTCATTGCCGTTAGGGTGGAGGCGCCATTAGGGATTAGGGTGGAGGCCATCGCCATTAGGTTGGACGCCATCGCTCTTAGGTTGGAGGCCATCGCCATTAGGATGGAGGCCATCGCCATTAGGTTGGAGGCCATCGCTCATAGGTTGGAGGCCATCGCTCTTGGGTTGGAGGCCATCGCTCATAGGTTGGAGGCCATCGCTCTTAGGTTGGAGGCCATCGCTCTTAGGTTGGAGGCCATCGCTCTTAGGTTGGAGGCCATCGCTCTTAGGTTGGAGGCCATCGCTTTTTGGTTGGAGGCCATGGCTTTTGGGTTGGAGGCCATCGCTCTTAGGTTGGAGGCCACTCTTAGGTTGGAGGCCATCGCTCTTGGGTTGGAAGCCATCGGTCTTAGGTTGGAGGCCATCGCTCTTGGGTTGGAGGCCATCGGTCTTAGGTTGGAGGCCATCGCTCTTGGGTTGGAGGCCATCGCTCCTAGGTTGGAGGCCATCGCCATCGCTCTTGGGTTGGAGGCCATCGCTCTTAGGTTGGAGGCCATCGCTCTTAGGTTG